TTATGTAGGATTTTCTCAGGAGCAGAATGCAGTCACGGCAGGAAGTGTTGGAACAAGAATCATGGGAGCAGGACAAGCAACAAAAAAAGCAGCAGGCTGCCAAAGGGAGAGTGTTCCAGAGCAGAGACCGTTCACGCCAGAAGGTGGAGAAAGAAGGCCAAAAACTCTGCGACCTCCAGCAGTACCTCAGAGAACAGAATCTTTTGATGCTCCGGGCATCACTGCTAGCATAAGGAAGCTGCAGAGTGGGTAAGCAGGCCCTTGAGGCATTCACAGACCTGCTTTGTATCTTGTAGCTGTGTGTCAGTGCTCAAGCCTGGGTGCTCGAATGCAGTTGTGATAAGTGAATTATGGTTTCTGGAAAGGTCTTTCATCTCCTTCTCATTGCATCCAGAGTTCACTTTGATAGAATCATAGAACAGTTTGGGTTGGAAGGGACCTTCACACCTTTCTTTCTGGAATTACTGTTCTAGTCCACCTCTGTCAAAACTGTTCTTTTGCCTTAAGCGGCCCTGCTGACAGACCCAACTCTGCAGCCAAAGAGCTACCTTGGTATTTAATGAGACACAGTCATACTGCTGAGTTTCTATCCCAAAGGCATCTTGAGGGGCCCAGCTCTTTCTGCGGGGCTTCAAGGAGTTGGTGCCTGTAGTGGAAAGTTGTAGTCAGAGGCTGGTGACAGTGTCATGGGGCAATTCAGAGTGGAGCAGCAGGGAACCTGGGAGTTATAAAAGTCATTCAAAGGGCACAAGACCTAGAGCCTGGTGGAGGAGCATCAGGTTGTAACTGCTTTCAAGATGCGGATGACAGAGAAAGGAATTACGTAGGTGAAGGCATGGGCAATAGATACAGTAGGAGGTGAAGAACAAGAATGAAGGTCAGGAGAAACACCCTGGGAATGAGTCCCTCACGTGAAGTGGTGGAAGCACAGGCAGAGGTTATGTCTTGCTAACACAAGCCTGTGGGGAAATGAAACACGGGCCTGAAAAGTTCCCCATTCCGCTACTGCATTCTGTGAACTTCCTGCCCTGCTGTGTGCCTTCCAGACCAGTGCCAGAAGAGCACATTTCTTTAAGGTCAAGGACCTCATAAAATAGGAAGTGTGGTTAAGTGATGCTGTCATATGACTTGCCTTGCTATGTTATATGAAAAATGGGGAAGGAGAGCTGGACACCAGCTGGAAGCAAAAACAAAACCAACCCTGCGGCAATGGAAACGTACATGCTAAAATACAATGTAAATTATCCATTGCAGTTCCCATTATTAACAAGTACCCCCTTGCACGTGAGCTGCAGAGATCTATAGAGAAGTCCATATACCTGTTCACAGAATCATAGGATGGTTTGGCTTGGAAGGGACCTCAAAGCTCATCTAGTTCCACCACCCTGCCATGGGAGGGGACCACCTTCCACTAGACCAGGTTGCTCAAGGCCCCGTCCAACCTGGCTTTAGGGTTGTGCTACTTCCTTCCAAAACTGCTGTAGGGGGCAGGGCAGGGATTCAGGGACAGGTGAGGTGTTACAGGAAACCTGGTAAGGCAACTTGGAACCCTCCAGCTTGGGCTTCAGGTAAGTGTAGATCTTCCACAATCAGGGTTATGTACTGCTTGGAATACGCAGGCCACTCCCCTAGAGGAGGAATAACTTATAGAAGGCCAAAATGCAAAAAGGAAAGTGTTTTATTTTTGGTGACAAGCCACCCTTTCCAGGCACTGTGATGTGCAAAATGTCTGTCCTCTGACATACCTGTCTCTGGAGGATCACCAAGCCCCGTGCTGGGCTTCGCAGCCTGTTTTGCCTACAATCTTGTGTTCAGGCTGGCAGTCTCCAAAGCAGGTAATCTTATGTCAGAAAGATACTCAAGATAGGGCACCTGGTCAGAATAAACAGACCTTTTGTTCACCATGAATGAATGAGGAGAATGGTACAAAGACAAATGAATTGGTAAACTGACAGTTAACAAATCATGTAAGAATCTGCAGTAGCCAGGAGGGCTATAGACATTCCCCATTCCAGCCGTAGGGCAAAACGCAGTTACCACTTGAAGTTCACAATGCTGCTTGCTCTTGACTCTTTGATTTTCTGAGTGTGTTACTGACTTTCCTTAGTGAAGCATGTGGTGCCAGCTGGTCCCCTCCCTTGAAAGGAAGCAGTATAAGGCACATCGAATGACAGTTCTCTGCAGCAGGAGAGGTTTTTAAACATGCTGTACTCTGGCAAGTGGAGGTGCCTTCTTTCACAAAGGGGAGGAGGAGGTTATGCTTGTCACATCCTGAAGTGCTGTCCCTCTTCCTCGTATCATCAGAGGTACAAAATACAACAGCTGTGTCACAGAGAATTCTGTTGTCAGCCTTGGGTAGCCAGAGAGGTAACCGGTTCATTCACATGGATACTTAGGAAAGGAGAAGGGACACAGCACATTTTGTTTGCTGGAACTCTCAGAGCTCTATTGAAGGATGTTAATTTACATAAAACTATGCTGAAATATATCTAATATTTGCAATACCTTGTTTTAACTAACACCTAGAACAAAACTAGATACAAAATGTAGATGTTGTTGCCTTGACATTTTGTGTGCGCTTAGAAACATGTTTCACATTTTCTGGCACATCCCTCAGCAGAAAGAGTTAGTAGAATGAAAATTCACCCCTTTTCCAGGACCACAGCATCAGTGACAACAACAGTTTTCGAAAGAAAAAAATTAAACTTGTAAAAGGAAGCTCCTTTGTAATTCTGCCAAATCTTTTAAATGACCACCAGCTTCTTAACACTAAGGCTTAGACTTCATTCCTTGAGAGAGAACTCAGCGGCTATGCCTTCAGCTTTCCCCAAAAAGGCAGTTAAAGTGAAGTCTCAGGCAGATGTTTACAAACTATTCTAAGGCATTAGTAGCTAAAAGGAATATTTTTAACTTTAGGATCCATAATATGCATGAACCGTCCTGGATTTTTATTAAAAAAAGGGGAAAAAGGAAAGATGATCCTAAATAAAGGGTGAAGGCTTAGGCATTTAAGGTCTGAAAAAAATTATCATTTGCTGCATATATGGCAACTACACGTGAGGCACAGTTTAGCATTTTACACATGGAATTCTGGCATTTGATTTGAGCTCTGTTTAGGCTCTTGAAAAGTTGACTGAAATGTGCTTAGGAAGCAGATGGGTGGCTGTGCCCCCGACCTGCACAGCTGATGGACTCAGCCCAGGCTGCAGAGTGCTGTAGGCCCTCAGGCTAGGTGGAAGTGGGAGAGGGAAAGCTGGTGCTGGCAGCACATGGAGGCTTTCTTTAATGTAAAGTTTGGGGTCTCTTGCTTCTCTTCTTCTTTGAGGAGAGATTTAGATTAGATATTGGGGAAAAAATTCTTCACTGTGAGGGTGCTGAGGCGCTGGCACAGGTTGCCCAGAGAAGCTGTGGCTGCCCCATCCCTGGCAGTGCTCAAGGTCAGGTTGGACAGGGCTTGGAGCAGCCTGGTCTAGTGGAAGGTGTCCCTGCCCATGGCAGGGGGTTGGAACTGGATGAGCTTTAAGGTCCCTTCCAACCCAAACCATTCTGTGATTTTATGTTTCTCCTTTACACAAAATCATGTGCTAGTTAACAGTTGTACCTCATGATGTGTTGAAGTCTATTAGCCTTCCGGAAACAAACCTAAAACTTAGTCTCAAACCCTACTGCTGCCTTTATCCTTAAGCATTTAGAAGTGGAACATGTAATGATTAAAGGAAAATACATTAAATATAGTGAGCAGAATTTAAACTTATTTTTCAGGCTTCATTTATATGTATCAATCATTATTTTATAACCACCATAAAGCAACAGATAGTCTGCTTAAAGTTTTTCTTTTGATTGCCTAGCCATCTGAAAACAGACCACTGCAGAAAACCTGTGCTGCTACAAGTTCACATACAGTGTATCTGGGAATATATTTAGTATTAGAGTATCTCAGATCGTTTGTAGCCTGTGTTCTCACTATTAAAATGCAGCCATATGAAATAAGCTTAATGCTATTAAAATGACTGTAAAAGCCACGGTTTGCCGGCTTTATTTAAATTACACATTCACAATGTTTTTTCCATCCATTAGGAAAATGCTTGGACTCCTTGTTTTGCAAACTACTGGAAACAAAAGGCAAGAATTTGCACATTAGTTAAAGCTTTGAGTTGACCAGGGTGAGACTAGGGGAGCAGAGAGGAGGATGGTAGGAAGGAAGCACACAGAGAAAGAAAAAAAGACTTTTTTCAAGCTTAAATTAAAACCCAAACACAAAACACTAAGACCAGTACAAATATTCCCAAAAGTTGTTTTTTTTATTATGGAATTAGGTCTCCTGCCTAAGCAAGTATTTTCTTTTGCTGTTTATTTGTATTGTGCTAGAGTGGTGGGGAGGGGGTGTCCAATTGCCTGGTCTGTTTTTATCATCCCAAATGCCTAAGAGCAGACCACTCCCTGCAGGATCTCAGGACGCTTCTACAATAAAGGTAGAAGCAAAAAGTGCAAAAGACAAAAAGGGTTATTGGCTTTTTTTCAGCCTGAATGAATTGCTTAGGTGGTGTTGGAACACCATTTCTCATACCACAGTGACAGGTAAGTCAGTATAACAACTTTACATATTTAACCTGATGTATTTCAAAACAGACTGGATCAATGAACATCTTTTTTAAGACTTCTAGACAAGTCAGACTGCTTTTCTCATCAGGCTGCAGTGATTGTGTGCACCTAAACTACATGATATGTCAGTTTAAAAATTACCAGAGCGCATTATTAGCTCTTAGAACTATGCGATGAGTCAGAAGTCTCCAATTGTGCAATCTTCCTGGTTTCTGGAATTCTGATCATCTCAGCCTGGTGCTTGGCTGAAACAACTGAAGGCAACATTAATGGAGAGTAACCTCTGCATGGCGCGTCCCCCAGATACACAACTTCTCACCATCGGCTTCTTGCTCAGTCAGCTCACTGATGGCACAGGCAGTAACCCTGCACAGCAGAAGGGCAGCAGCCACAGGAGTCTATTTGAGAACAGAAGCTGCAGTTTTGATGAGCAGTGGTTTGGCTGCCTCTAGAATGTCCAGTTCAGGATCCAGTGAACGACCAAGTCCTTCCAGAACCATGATGGCAAAGATGATGGAAGCAAAATTGCTCTCGAGCTTCACCTAGAATCACAGGAGACTAAATGGAGTTGGCAGACCTTACTTTCTCTTGAGCCCATTCTGTGGAATTCCACAGAATTCTCTGGCCAAGCTGAGAGGGAAGGGAAGAGACTGGGAAGAGTTTACTAACACCTCAAGCTATACTGCAACTCCATCACTTGGAGTTTCAGAACTAACTGAAATCCAGCAGCAGGCTCAAAAATAAGGTGACTATTTCAGGTTAAATGCCCTAGGAGAACCCAGAAGTTTGTTTTTCAGCTCCAGAAGAGAACTGGGATTTTTTTTCTTCTGTACTGGAATAGCAGGAGCCTAGGAGTCCTTACCATTATTTGTGTAGCTATAAGCTGCAGTATCCAATGTACTTGAACACATGCACACACGTAAGGGGGAGCTCACCTCCTGAATGGCCACAAAAAAAAAAACCCCAGATCACAGAGGAAACCTCTACTTTGCATGTGACCAAACTATTCCCCAGTTTCCAGCCAGGTACTGGGATTGTTTCAAGGCATACCAGGGCATTAAGAATTCATCGAGTTGAGAGGATTTGCTTTGTAAGGGCCTAAATTACATTTCATGTTATTTGAAACCAGCTTAAATGACAGAAACCTTTAACTAAAGAATGTTTAGAGGGACCCTTTACAGGCTGGGCAGCCATGTAGCTGACAACCTTCTCATCTCCGCTAGTTCAGGCCACCATAGCTCTGTCTATTTATTTCCAAAGTTGTTTGCAACTGTGGAAACATGTCCTCCAAATACCATCAGTTGTAAGAAGGAATCTCTGTTCTGTGAACAACTTCTCACTTTGAAGTTCTCCAACAAACCTGTAAAATGGCCTAGTGCAGTTCCATAACCCCACCCCCCAAGAAAGAGGTCCAGAGAAGAAAGTGTACAGTGACAGACAAAGGGAACATATATTAGATTTCATTTTCTGCTTGTAAGGAACTGTAAAATAAAATAGGAAAAATATCACAGAAACATTCTTTTTAGTTAAATGTGGCATTAAGACAAACCCAAGAAATTGGTCTTGGTAGGGTGTGTATCGAGACCTGAGAAACAAATATGCTTGCTACACTTGGATGCATTGCTGCAGCTCGTTTAAGGG